CTGTATGTGAAGTGTTGTTAAAGAGTTAACTTTCCCTAGGCTATTTATGTTTAGTTAAATATAGATATGCTTCAGAGATTTGTATACTTTTTTTTTCAGGTGCCATTTCTTTTTTTGTAATTTTAATTTATCAATATACAATGTAGTTGATTTTTGTGTCCCTTTACCAATTCCTTTCCCCACTCCATCTTCCTCTCCCCACACCCCCAAGATTTGTATACATTGCAAGAAGGTGCTGGAGACTTGTAAGAGTTCTCATGAAAACACTGACCTAAACTTTATGAAATAGTTATATATTATAACCTAATAGATTTCACTTTCCTCCATTCTTATCATTAGCAGGTAATTTCTGATTTCCTCTCATGCTTGCCTGAAGGATTTCTTATAAATTACAGGCTAGAAGTTGAGTCTTCAACAAAAAACAGTCTCAGGATCTCAGTGGAAAGGACTGTCCCAGACACTCTTTATTACTGCTTCAAGGAATAGACTCATGGATAGAGGCTTCTGAGCTGACACCGTTTAGACAACTTTAAGAGTAAGGATATCTTTGACTCTTTTTATGACAGGAACAGATGACTTCGTGAAAGCAAGTGCTGACAAGGGTCCAGCAGAACAAGAATACATCACTAGGACTGAGTGAACTGATGAATATAACCTAATTTTGGTTATTTGTTTTCAATTTTATGCCCAATTCTATCTTATTATGAATATATGATTAAACCCTGCCTTTTCTTAATCTATTTCTAACTTTTAACTTAGTACACTATACTTTTGTCAATTGAAATAAAACATTCTTTAAGTGGTACCTTGTTTTTACTGACATCTCGAAATTTAGGAACAAATGTAGTTTACTGAGTCTATTTTTAATGGCAATGTAGTTATTTTTATAGATACAATAAGAATTTGTCTTTTTTTTGCCAGTATATAATTGGACAATTTGATTGTGTAACCAGAGATATATTGAAGTGCCATACTTGAGAATAAATTTTATTTTGTCAGGTATGACAAGCCCACTGTTAAGGAATAAGAGTTGTACTTCATATGTGGAACCAATGCCCACAGCCCTCTGAGGAAATTGGTCTGGCTCTTTCTGTGGCTCATAAGAAGGTCACTTCTTGGCAGTCCAGGAACTTCAGCAGATTTAGAAGACCTCAAGAAGGAAGAAATTCATCATCACTTATAGATATAAGCAAAATTGGTGGAGATATTTTTTTTTTTTTTTTTTTTTGTGACCGGTAAGGGGATTGCAGCCCTTTGGCTTGGTGTCGCCTGCACCGCGCTCAGCCAGTTAGCGCACTGGCCATCCCTGTATAGGATCCGAACCCGCGGCGGGAGCGCCGCTGCGCACCCAAGCGCCATACTCTCCCGAGTGAGCCACGGGGCTGGCCTGGTGGAGACAATTTTCTTGGGTTTGGCTTCCTCACTTCAGAATAGAAGAGAAAATAAAAGCAATTAAAAAAAATACTGGGATAATAGAGGTTATTGGAAATACAATTCCTTGCACAATCTTCAGACAGAAGTTAATCTTCTGACCATAACAATGCTTTACACCATATGGTTCTAGATTTGTTGACCATACTGCAAGGAAGCTTATATGTTAATTACCACTTCTTACTGTATGTGAGTAAATTAATCAGGCCAAAAGACAGTGTGATTAGGAATAATACTTGGAAATTATTTAAAATTGCAAGGAAGGACTATTCAGAAAAATTACCCAAAACTTGGAAATGAGCAAAGGGATTATTACATGTCCTTTCAATGCTAAGCACTGCCAGATTCTCTAGGGTTGTATTCCTTTGATTTACTGTGTTATTTATTTAGGATACCTTTGATTTACTGTGTTATTTATTTAGGATATCTTATAAATCCAGGAATATAGGTATTAACTTGTAGAAAACTGAGAGTGATGCAAATGACTTTTGTCCAATAGCTACATAAATGAATTTTGTTCAGAGGAGATACAGGTATTTCTGTCTGATAGAAAAGATGATCTCAAAGGCTATGTTATTGCTCTGTGGAGTATTAACCAGATTTGTATCTAAATTAGCCATCATATTCAAGCATTCTTTCTTTCAGTATTCAAACTATGAATAGTTTGCTCTCTCCATTTTCATTGAATCAGTCTGCCATCTTGCTGGTTCCATTAATGATACGTAGTCACTTGAAAACAAACAAAAACCTGAACACAGAATGAAGAAATATCAAAGTTGCAATAATGATCCTTTTGAGTTTCTTAATGATCCTTTAAAAATATATATGTTAGTCTTCTGATCCTGAAGGAAACAAAGATACGATATTAATTTTCGGTGTAGCCTGGAACATTTCCCAACACTGTGCGACAAACCCAAACAGACTGTTTTGTGATACTATAGAAGCATTGATTCAAAATCAATCAAATAATTTATATTACTGGAATGAAAAACAATTTACAATTTGATTTTTTACAATAAAAATATGGCTGGCTTATTTTGCTAGTAACATAAGTGTGGGATGCCAATTGTGCTCAAAAATTATATTATTAAAAATTGGAAGTGCTAAACACTTAAATATTTCATCAAAATGTCAGTCCTGTTCTGGTAAAGCTCATAGTCTAAAGAAAGAAAGTTTGTAATCATCAGCGAGGAAAAAAGTAAAAGATAATTATGAATCAATTTACATACAACAGCATTTGAAACCATCAACACTTAGGGAAAATATTTATCAATGACTGTCAATGAAGTAATAAAAAGCACTATTGAAAGTACTATTAGACTTTATAACATTATCAAGTGGTTAGTAACACATAACAGTATTTTCAGATATAAAACATTTAATAAACTTCAAAAAGTGGTAATTTCAATGTGAACATATTATTATACTCTAGATGTATGGCCCTGTTTGTTACAAAACATTTATCTACTAGAATACGAAAATTGCTTTTTGGAAAACTTACACATCATGCCAATAAAATGTCAGTCATTGTTGACAAAACTTCAGCTGTTTCACATTAAAGTGTTAATAATTTACTTATATGTGAAATTTAAGACTTTGAACATAATTTAATGGATTTTGTTGATTTCATGGAACTGGAAGTAGTAACATCTGAAATAATATAGCTAAGTTTATCAATGCTTGAGAAAAATAATTGTTTACTGAGAAATAGTTACATAAAACTCTCATTGAATTTTGTACAGAGAATGCCAATGTAATTCTATGAGGAAAATCTAAGGTTTCAACCCAAAATCTTAGAAAAATTTCCAAATGTTTTTATTTGATACAGTCTAAGTCACTGTGTTGAGTTATCTTTGAGAGATTCATTGAGAAATGTAAATAAGGTAAATTACTTTAAATCTTTTGTCCATAAACTTTGTATTTACCACCATTCTCCAAATAAAAGATTATTAGGGATTAAATAATATATTTGAAGAGCTTAGAATTTAAATAATGACAACTGGAAGAATATTTATACTTCAAGAGCCAGCCTGCAGTGTAAGAACTGCAAAAGTAGGTTGGAATTTGTATCAAAGTCAGAATATTTATTTTAACAAAAATTATAAAATGGCAATAATGGAACATTTTGAAAACAAAATTTGTTTTTAGAGGTTTGGCTTTAATAAATGACATCTGTCATTTTTTTCTTTAGCTTTATAAGAAAGAAAAATTTCTCTGATGGTTAATTTGGGGACAATTATGGCTCTGAGCATAAAAAAACTAAAAAGGGGAAATTATGGAAGAGATACAGATTTTATAGAGACAAAAAAATATGCCACATCTTCTTTTTCCCACCAGCCCCTTTCTGCTTCCTTCTCTGCTCTGCACTCTGACCTGCATGTCCCAAGAAGGCTTCTCAGTGGGCTCCTAGGAGCTCAGCCTGCCAACTGGGCTTGGCCGATGGGAGTACCAGCAAGAGGTTCCAGAGAGGGACCAGGATGAGGTCAGAGTGGTTATTGCCAGGCTCCCTCCCTCCTGATTGTGGCCACCACATTTCTCTAACAAAGGGTGTGCTGGGCTGCCCTTTCCACACAGGTCTCTCTCCAAATGTTGGCAACAGCCCCTTCTCCCGTGTTTAGTAATGGCTCCCCACTGTGACTAGCCCTGGGGTACTGCACTGTCTTCTGTCCTTTCCCTGCATCCTGACCATCTCTGAGTAATGAGTCTCTTTATTAATTGCTCTTCCAATTACCTAATTTGAGTGTTCCACCTGTTTCCTGCTGGGACCCTGACTGATTTATGCTGCATCATTTGAGACAACAAAAAAAGTATCTGTTCCAAGAAAAAAAACCCATAAAGCCCCAAAACTGTTAGATTATTTTAGAAAGAGAAAGAAAAATGTGTTTACTGTTCGATAACCAAAAAAAAAGAAAAAAAGAAAAGAAAAAAGGTAATGAATGCTTATATTCTTTCAATTTATTGAATCCTGAAGCAGGACTAAATGATACTTGGGTTTGAAGGTGAACACACTTGATACATTTAAGCCAATTAAGCATGACAGTCCAATAAGTAATTTTGCGTGTCTCCTTCAATGATAGAAATGTGGAATATTAAAATGCCACAAATAATATTACAAGGGTTAGAAAAAATTTTAATGTGTTGCTATTAGACCCGCAAGAACTGAAAGAAGATTCGGCATGGTGACCAATATCAATGACGTTAAAAGACGTTTTCTACCTACAGAAACTAAAAGCCACCTAATGACTATTCACTTACAAGGGAAATCTTTGGAAGAGTTTGATACAGTTCTGTAAGTCAAAAAATAATTAGGTATGTTTATCATTTGGCTAGTGACAGCTGTAAAATAAGAAAAGATTATACCAAGAATTTTTAAAACCCCACAAATGATTTGGAAATTATTGATTGGTTTGATGATTGATTTGTCATACAAATTCTTTAGTAAATAGTTTTATATTACTTATAGTATGTTTTATTGGGAATAAAAGACAACATGTTTTTAAATTTGTGGTTTATACATTGATTTCTATTTTAATTTTTATTTATTTACTTACTTATTTATTTTTTGTGGCTGGCTGGTACAAGGATTGAACCTGGACCTTGGTGTTAGCAGCCCCACGCTCTAACCAACTGAGCTAACCAACCTGCCTATTTTAATTTGTTACTGTACTAGTGGTTGTATATTTTCAATAGTGACCATGCCATATACTACAATAGTGGGCTCTCCTAATATGAATTATTATCAATAGGTGGTTGGAACCAATTTACATAATGGAGAATTTAAATAAAGATAACACAATCCAGCCTTTATTTTTTTTTCTTTAACAAAGCAACATTCCAATTTCTTTGTCATTGTTGGGGGTTGCATCTACAGAAAAACTACAGAGTTTTTCACAAAACTTAGAAAACGGTCAAAGGAACAAATTCCATGATTTTTTTCCAGGCCATTGCTTTCCCTTAGCATAAGCTAGAGGAGATAGAAACTGATCCCACATCTTAAGGTTGGGAGTGGAGACAGACCTGACTTCACACTGGAGGCTGTGCAGTGCTGTAGGATGGCAGGCCTCATGTAGAGGCAGGGAGAGGATCAGGAGAGCACTCCCTTGGTCTCCAGGGAAAAAAAATATCTCCCACATGGTGACAATCTGCTTCACCATCCCTGTCCTGAGTCCCAGGCTACAGCTCTGGGAAGTCCAGCTCCTCCTACAGAGTCCTGCCTCTAATGATGAGGGGTGTGTGCAACGTTGGAGGCAGGCGTCATCCAACCATGGGGAGGTGGCCTCACTCTTTTTAGAAGAAAGTCTTCCTCCAGCTTCCAGAGCTCTGGTTGGCAACCCAGCCAGACTCATGGGGGCAACCCCACAATCCTGGAGTGAGACCAACATGGAAGCTATCCTCACAATGCTTGCTGGAGACAGCAGCACTCAGAGGCTCATGAGGCTCAGCCAGATCTGTCAGGTCTGATGAACTTCCTGAGCCAGAGAGGCCTTCTGCCACATGGAGCTCCTGACACATCAGGGCAGGAAGGGCTGGGCTGGGGAAGGCGTCATTCCCGGGTGTGCGTGCGGGACAGGAGGGGAGGTGGAGGGTGCTGCTGCCGGCCCGGCCCAGCTGTGCTGCCTGCAAGTGTGGCTCTGGCAGAGCTGGGAAGACTGGTCTCCAGATGTGTTTTCCTGGCATGTGCTCTCAGACTAGGAATTCCCTTCATGCTGGGGGATCGGGGACCCCATAAGAGAAAAAGTTGACCATGGCCAGGACCAAGAGGTGGACAGGACCTAAGGAGCTTTCATTCATTCCTTAAACTCTCTCTTCCACCCCCCAAAACCCACCCTGGGAGGCAGGAGGGATATATTTGATATATTCATGGCTTAGAGTCACACACACATACATCAGTCATACTTTGGTTTTGAGAATGTCATTTACAAATTTTTGATGTGCTGTGATGATGACATTCGTACACACTGGAGAGGGATTCTCCAGAAGAAGAGGCAGCTGGAGCGGGTAATAGGATGGAGTAGACAGTTATAATCCTCTTGTGACTCTCCCAGGCTCACAGGATAATCTGTCAGACATTTAGGAACCACAGTGTCAGGCGGGGGCTGCCCCAGGAGGAGGCTCAGCGACAGTTCACACCACGGCAGCTGAAGCTCGCGGTTTGGAGATGTGTCTCCACTAAGCCAGCTGTTGGCACCCAACCCTGAGCATCAAACCGCCTTGGAAGGTGGGACCAGGGCCACTTGGGCTCTTCTTTGCAGGTTGTTAGTTCTAATGTCACCTATCGAAAGAAAGACAGGCATGGGCAGTGAGAGGGGGGCTGCTCCTTGGAGGTGAGAGCAGCAGGGTCCTGGTCATGAAGTTTCTCCCAGGTGAGGCGAGGGTGGGGTGGAGACAAGGCAGGGAGCTACCTCCACGCCTGGGTGATGACCATGAAAATGAATGTGGTGCCTTGTCGGGTGGGCAAGAGAGGAGAGGGTGGAGCAGAGAAAGGCAACTGCCTTCCCCAGCCATGTACTCCCTGGCCAGGAAGGCAGGCCTTCCTCTTGGTGGCTGTGATAAGTCACCTCCACGTTCTTCCCCAGGACCTCAGCATCCTTTTCTACCATATAAGCCATCATCTTAGTGATGCCTGCAATTTCTGTCCACTGCACCATGAACTATCGATTTATGTTTCTCTCCTCAGCCTGGTCTAACCTCATTCTGCCCATTCATGTACAATGTACTGGGCACATTTATTGAAGAGCTACTACACACCAGACCTGGTGCTAAGCCTAGAAAGCTCATGAATTCTGGCAAACACAGGCCCAATTTCAGTTTGACCACTTACCAGCTGAATGACTTTAGGCATTGTCTAACCTCCTGAGCTCAGATTCTATAAGAGGCGGGTAATACAACTGCCTCTCGTGTGAGTAAATGAGATGATACTTACAAGGTGCTTGGCACAGTAGGCAGTGGCTCAACTCTTTCTCAGCTATTTCCCTTCCTCGAGGGTAGGCAGAGGCCTCTCTCTGTGCTCCCCCAAGCACCCTGCAGCCAGCACCTAGCACACAGTGAGCACTCCACAAAGACTGGGTAAGAGACTCCGTACACTTTGCCTCGTGATGGGGGGACATAGAAGTCATGTGCCTTGTGCTGGGGGAATCTTGCTGTTCTGCCAGTCCTAGTTAAGAGCTTGGTTAAGAGCCCTGGCTAAGAGCTTTACAGATACAGATGTGTTTGGAGACACTGTCACTGTTTCATTTTGTTTTATTTTTTCTCTCTCTCATTAGCAAAAGAGGAAGCCAAGATCTGAGAGAGTGGCCTCTTGTCCATGGGAAGACAGGCATCAGAGAGGGGAGCATGCTGGACGAGGCGAGGAGACTGGATCATAGCACGGATGTGCCACCACCAGCATGTCCGCTGTGGCTGAGGCTTCTATGCTCTAGGTGGTCCAGTCCTGCCTTATCTGAAGTCTCATGGCTCATCCCTGCCCCATCTGCTCTGTAAGGTTGTTGGCAAGGGCCAGGTCATCATGTAGGCATGATGAAAATGGTTTGGCTAGCTAACAGTGCTTTGGCAATTGGGCTGTCACTGTTCCTGCTACTGCTCATTAAACCACACGCATATTTGTGTTAACTGAGGTCACTGTCATATTGGAAAGAATACAGGATGGGATGTTGGAATCTTAGGTTTTAATTTAGACATAGCTACTAACTCGTTGTGTGACCCTGGGCATCTCCTTGCTCCTGTGTCATCCCAGAGGTTGTACTAGGTGATCTGTCTCAGTCCTCTGGGATTTAAAGGTTGATTACTAGGAACAGAAACTAATACCTGCAAGCAGATACTAATGGATTTGAAACCCAACAAATTCACTCCAGCTCTAGATGCTTTGGAGAGTGACAATCTGTTGACAACGAACTAGATGGCTCCTTTAGGCCAGACTCTTGGTTCACCCTGGAGGGTGCCTGGGCAGGTAGGTGTTGAGCCAGGGGCCACTCAGGCTATTGCTACAGCCCTTGTGCAAGACAGCACATGGCATTGCAAGCATATATTTTAGAGGAAAATCGTTTTCCTTCAACAAAAATCTGGCAGCTACAGATGTGGTGTCCTGGCCGTAGGGTTTTCCAAGCCCTGCAAGATTTCTGACTCTTACCCAGTGTGCTTCTGTACCAAAGATGCAGTGAAGGAAAGCTTCTGATTCATCCACCCCCAGGCTCGACAGTTCTCAATCATGAGTCTCCTCCACAGCCACCAAGCCCATCTGTCAACCTCTTCATGCTTCTCACTGCTGTTTCGCCCCTCAGTGATCCCATGCCACATCCCAACCCCACAAGGCATCGCAGAGAATCAGGGAGCCACAGAATTGCAGTGTAGAAGAATCTAGAAAAACTTGATTCCACTGTTATTCACATCTTTTTTTTTTTTTTTGTCTTTTTCCGTGTCTGGCAACGGATCGCAACCCTCAGTGTCGCCCCCATACCGGACCGGGACCGGCAACGGGATCGCAACCCTCGGTGTTGCTCCCGTGCCTCGCTCAGCCAGTGAGCGGGAACCGGTCTGTATGTGGGATTCAAACCCTCGGGCGGGAGCGCCGCCGCGCTTCCCAAGCGGCGCACTATAGCAGTGCGCCACCGGGCTGGCCCAGTTCTTCACATCTTTTTAATAGTTTTGCCAAAAGAAAATGAAATCACCCAAAGTGGTATTTTTTATGAAGGCTTATAAAGTCCACAAATGAGCACAGTGATGCTATTTTGAAAGACGTCAAAACTGAAAATTCAGGATTAAGGGGTGACAGTTACGATCATATCAGTATAAGCGTTCCATTTGTTTCTGCACTTGTTGTTGCATGTCATTAAGAAGATAGGTAGCTACTAAAGGTAATAGTTTTCAGTTAGCTTACAGTCTTAAGATAACCTTCAATTAAACAGAGGTGGCTGAAAGCATCATTTGAGGTCTGTTTAAAAACAAGCTCACCTGTCTCTCCCTCTGTCTCTGGAAGTAAGGGTGGATTGGCAAATTAAGAAGCCACAGACTAGATTACTCAGCCATGGAACACTCTCTCTGTGCCCAGCATAGCACCTGGTTCATTGTAGAACCTGGTTCAATGAATAAACAGATAGTCAGTTTACTTAATATCTTAATCTTGAGTCTATCTTCCTGCCAAACTCTCCACCATCTTCTCAGAGAAATTAGACAGACAGGTGAAGATAGATGACAGATAGATATTGGTATATAGACAGGTGATAGATATTGTGTATAGTAGATGATAGATATAGAGCCTCCCTTGCAGCTAGGTGTGACCATGCAACTAAGTTCTCACTGGTGGAATATGAGCAGAACTGAGGTATGTAACTTCTGTATCACTTACTTAAATTATAATAAGTTGTCCTCCATTTCTGTTCTACCTTGCTCCCTGTGAACAGGGATGCTGACGTGGTGGTGACCCAACTTTGATCCTGCAGATGACAACTCTCTAGAGGATGGCAGAGCAACAGGTGGAAGGAGCCTGGGTATGGAGTGACCGTATGGAGCAGAGCTTCCCTGCTAGTCTGAGCCACTCACCTCTAGGCAGCCATGTTAGAGAGAAATATGCTTCAGTTTAACTGGGGTCTCTGTTACAGTGGCTTAGATGCGTACAGCCTTATGTACAGCCTATACCTTAACTGCTA